GTAAAATTTCATTGAACTATATCAAATGCTACAAAACGCACCAAACGCTAACCAAACGCTCACAGACGGCCAAGACACTGACAACCACCTATAAAAATGCTACTGACCAGACTAGCTCCTAGTCGTTAACTATGTTAAATTTCATTTAACTATATTTAATGGCTGACAAAAAGTTTTCCATTTCAAGAGTTACCATCAACATCAGGGGTGGAACACAACATTGTAGAAGGGAATGGGAGAAGGGAAGCAGGCCGGAAGAATCTGACAAAATGTTTGTATTCCAAGACCTTTGTAACATATTGTAGTCTTGGGTTAGAGGGCTATTGTAGCAATGATATCAAACCCTGTCAGAATTGACCTCAAGTTGTTAAGACAATTTACTTCTCATAAAGTAATACCTTGCTTTTTGTTTTGCAGTGTTTTGTAGTCCAAGACAATAAATGGAAGCCAAGTGACAAAGATCTGTATGTATCAGTGAAGTCATTAAATGATGTCTGTTGATGACAAATTTTTTTGGTTTGTTTTTCTTTTCTTGTGCCCATTCAGGGAGAAACATCAGAAAGAATTCCCATACTGCTAGTCAAATAATGTTGTAAATGGCAAATGGTTTTATAAGTTCTTAATAATAGTTTTTAATAAGTAGATGTTCAGAAAACATTCCTGGTGTCTAGAAACTTAAGGAGATGTTGCAAGACATTTTCAAAGGAAATATAAAGAACAATTCCTCATTTCTGTAGGACAACAGACTAAAATACCTGTGAAAGTTTAGAAAAACTGTGACAGCTGTGGAAGAACTCTTGCTTTCACTTGTTTCTTTGTAGATTGCTTGATGGTGGAGAAGACTCACTTGGTCTTGCTACAGAGCTTCTAGAGGGAAAAGCTTATCAGAGTCTTATAGACTTTGACAATCATCTTGATGACATCACACAAGACTGGCTGAACAAAGACATCAATAGACTAGTTGACATATCGCTCACAACTTAAATTTTATTAGTTACTGC